TCTTCTCCTCGCGCCTCTCGGCGGCGGGACCCGGCCCCCAGCCCCGCGGGAAGCCGCTCACACCCGGGCCAGACGCGGGGACACAGCGGGCCCAGGGCCGCGGGGCCACCCCCTCCTTGCGCGCTCCGCTCGGCTCGCTCAGCCTCCCCCTGGAGCAGCGGGCGAAGGAATGTGTTTGCTGAGGTTCGAATTGGAATGGGGAAATTGTTATATCTTCTTTTTTCCCCAAATTAATGCATATGGGTTTAAAAAGTTTTTGTAATGAAAAGATCAGCCATAGCCGGTTTGGCTCAGTGGATAGAGCGTCAGCCTGGGGACTGAAGGGTCCCAGGTTCGATTCCGGTCTAGGGCATGTACCTTGGCTGCAGGCACATCCCCAGGGAGGGGTGGGCCGGAGGCAGCTGATCTATGTTTCTCTCTCATCGATGTTTCTAACTCTCGATCCCTCTCCCTTCCTCTCTGTAAAAAAATCAAGAAAATACATTTTTTTTAAAAAGAAAAAATCAGTTCCCTGTACCCTTTCCCCCTATTCTCCAGAAGGCAACTACTTTAAACTTTTTATTAATTTTAATTTTATTGTACATACAGTAAAATGCACAGATCTTCAGTGTAAAATCGGCCAAGTTTTGACAAATGTATACAACCATATTAACCATCAGTCACCCCAACAAGATATAGGACATTGATGTGACCCCTGAATGTTTCCTTGTTCCCAATTTTTTATTGTGGTAAAATACAAGTCACATAAACCATTACACATCAGCCATTTAAAACTGTACAATTCAGTGGCATTTAGTACATTTATTGTGTAAACCAGTCATTACTTTCATCACCCCTCATGGAAACCACCTACCTACCCATTGAACAGCCACTCCCATCCCCCCCTTCCTGCAGCTCATGGCAGTCACTAATCTGCTTTCTGTCCCTATCAATCTGCTTTTCCTGGATGTTTCATATAAATGGAGCCATGCACTGTGTGTGGCCTTTCCTTCTGGCTTCTGTCTTTAGCATGTGTCGGTACTTCATCCCTCTTTGTGGCTGAGTAATATGCCATTGTATGGATATGTCATATTGCCCATCTGTTGATGGAGGTGGACATTTGGGTTTCCACCTCTTATCTAGTACTGCGTTGAACATGCATGTATGTCCCATAGGTGCCCCAGCAGGGGATTAAACCTGCAACCTTTTAAAAATATATATATATATATTTTTTTTATTGGTTTCAGAGAGGAAGGAAGAGAGAGAGAGAGAGAGAAACATCAATGATGAGAGGGAATCATTGATTGGCTGCCTCCTGCATGCTCCCCCACTGGGGCTGGAGCCCACAACCTAGGCATGTGCCCTTGACCGGAACGAATCTGGGGCCCTTCAGCCTGCAGGCCGTGGCTCTATCCACTAAGCAAAACCGGCTAGGGCCCCTGCAAACTTTTTGGTGTACGGGAGGGCATTCCAACCAACTGAGTCACCTGGCCAGTGAACCATTTCTATATTCACAATTCAGTGGCATTAATTGCATCAACAATGTTGTGCAAACTGTCACTACTATCGATTTTCAAAGTGTTTTCTTCACCAAAAAAGGAAACCCAGAACCCAATAAGCAGTCACTTTCCATTCCCCTGTCGCTAAGCCCCTGGTAATTTCTCATTTTTCTGACTATGAATTTGCATGTTCTGGTACCTCACACAATATGTGTCCTTTTGTGAATGGCTTCTTTCACTTAACAGTGTTGTCAAGGCTCAGCCATGTTGTGGCATGAATCAACACTTCATTCCTTTTTTATTTTTAAAAAATATATTTTTATTGATTTCAGAGAGGAAGGGAGAGAGAGAGAGAAATAGAAACATCAATGATAAGAGAGAATCATTAATAGTCTACCTCCTGCACGCCCCCTGCTGGGGATCGAGCCCGCAACCCGGGCATGCGCCCTTGACCAGAACCGAACCCAGGACCCTTCAGTCTGCAGGATGGTGCTCTATCCATTGAGCTAAACCAGCTAGGGCTCAAGTAATTATTTTTTTAAAAGTCCCTAACATTATATATTTCCAGCTGCTGTAGCCCAAGAATACATTGAGAAAATGTAAAATCCAGGAAACATGCAGATATATGAAGAAAAAGAAAAACTGCAATCACCAATTCATAAATGTTTTGGGAAAAATTTGTATTCATTAAGCTTAATACTTTGCACACTGTGTGCAGAGTGAGCGTGGGGCAGGAGAGTTCCCCACCCGAAGCCTTTTGCTTCTCCGTGGCCACCTTTAGATCTGTAAGACCAGAGTGCCAACAATGCTTGTACTGCACGCCTGCCTGCCAGACATGCACTTGCCCTGACTGAAAGGCAGAATCCTTGGATGAGCATCCCCCAGGGGGACCGGCCCAGAGTGTGCCCTCTGCTCCAGGGCCTCTCTACAGTGGGCACCAGCTCCTCTAACAGGCTTTCACATCTAAAGGACCCCATCTCTGAGGAACAGGGGGGATACAGACCAGAATGATCTCAGGGAGAGAACAATCCAGAAAGAAAAGTCAGGTGGATGGTTTGCAGTGAAGTAACCCCAACTGGGACCGGGAAGTGGGAGCAGGAACCCCAGGACACGGGCTTAGGCCTCAGGCGGCCGTTCGGATCGCAGCCCCCTCCTCCCAAAGGACATTCTCCGTGCCCCTCACCTCTGCTCGCTTCCCAACACAGATCTTTGTTTTCCCTAAACGCCCACACCCTTTCCTTACCCGCCAACACATAAACCCTGCCTCTTCCTTTCGAGAGAAAACTTGAAGCATCTCATGGGAGCTCTATCGCCTAACACTCTTGAAGTCGATCTGGGAAGTACCAGAAATTAACGGGGATCCTGGCCTCCCAAACAGGATTGGCTCTGAAAGCCCCGCTACAGGCTGCTGCCACTCGGGCTCTTGTCAGAGGGACTGACCCACTGGTGGTCTTCCGGGGCCTGCTTGCGCCTGAAGCCTTCCCACGCTGGGCCCAGGAAGGGCTGGCTGTTCGAGTGGATGTGCTGATGATGGAGGAGAGTAGGGGAAGCAGAGGCCACAGTCAAGGCAGGGGTAGGGCTTCCCGCCTGTGTGTGTGCACCTGTGGGAAGCCAGCAGAGAAGTGCCTGTAGGCCAGCGGTTCTCAACCTGTGGGTCGCAATCCCTTTGGCGGTGGAACGACCCTTTCACAGGGGTCGCCTAAGACCATCCTGCATATCAGATATTTGCATGACGATTCATAACAGTAGCAACATGACAGTTATGAAGTAGCAACGAAACGAATTTTATGGTTGGGTTACAACATGAGGAACTGTATTTAAAGGGCCAGAAGGTGGAGAACCACTGCTGTAGGCAAAACGGAGGCTGCATTTAGGACAGCTGGAGGGCTTCTCGCCCGTGTGCTGGTGCTGGTGGGTGGCCAGCAGCTGGGGGTCAGTGAAGTGACTCTTGCAGTCTGGGCATCGGTAGGGCTTCTCCCCAGTGTGAGCCCGCCTGTGGATGGCCAGGGAAGCCCTGTGGCAGCAGCAGCACCCGCAATGGGCACTAGGGCTTCTCACCTGTGTGGGTGAGTTATGCTAGAGCAGGTACTTGTACTGGGGAGAAACAGGCTTCACATTGGTCACCGAGGAAGGACCACTGTGGATGGCTGCGCTGGCCAGCCATGATCCCAGCTTCTGGCAGAGCAACCCTCCCCCTGTGGGAGAGCACTGACCACCAGGGCGCAGCTCCTGCATTGAGTGTCTGCCACCTGGTGGTCAGTGGCATCATAGCGACTGGGCGTTCCTCTATTCCATCAGTGTGCATATTAGCCTTTTATTATATAGGATTATGCCTGCAGGCAAAACAGCTTTCCTTTTTTAAATCTCTGATGAATGGCATTA